TCCGGAAGTCCAAATGTATTCCTCCTGTACTTTGTTTAATGCTCTATTAAATGGCTGTCATTCTAAAAAAGTCATGTTACCTAAATGAGAAAGGTATTTTACAGAACACATTTTACAAAGACAGCTATATTTTTCACATGTTCTACATGTACCTAGCAGTGCTAAGGAAATGTGCTCAGCACGTGAGATTTCGTAACAGCAGATGGTTGCAGGTGAGGATGGCTGTGTGTTATGCCGCAGTGGGGACTGATGGGGACCTTAATGTTCTTCATCTTTCAGGAGAGAGGAAAGGGAGAGGCGAGGAAAGGGATGCAGGTGAGACTGAGCAAACTGCCCTGATTCATCTGCTGCTACATTTCCTGTCATTAGGGAGTGGCTGCACCAAGTAGAAATGTTTTCTCTTATGTTGGCTTCATTTTAACTTCAGGGTGGCTGGGCCTGCCTCACCAGCTCGGATAGGTGGGATTCTTCTCGACGCAGCTGGAACGTGTCTCTGGCTGCCTCCTGTCACTGAGCTGTGCTTTCAGCCAAGTCCTTCAGGGCAGGAGCCCTGCTACCAGGAGCTAGGGGAGATGATTATGCTGACTGACACGAAGTTTTGAAATCTTAAAAATATTTCCATTCTGTTTCAGAGAAAAAACAGTTAAAATTTCAAATTCTATGAAGCCATAACCCAAACAATAAAACAAAATAATAGATTGGAGTAGTTGAAGTTCTTTCATCTCTTATGTATCTCTACATTTTCTGATAGATTAGGATGTATTTCTAGATAGTAAGTCCAGAATTATAAGCGCAATATCTTTATTAAAACTTCTTTACTTGTGGTTACGAGCTATTTCAAGTGGTGGTTTCATGTTTTGAAAAATAAAAAGCCCACTTTCTGAACTGTATTCTTTCAAGAAATTAGGACAATGGAAATTACCTTCAGAAAATTTCTCTTCTACCTATATCCCACCCTATCAAAATATCATTTTGGCAACCTAGCAGGTCGGTGCTGTATTTTAACTCCCTGTTGTCCTCTGGCTACCCTTTTCCAGCAATGATGGCTGGAAGGCTGAGGAGATGAGGAAGAGCTTCCAAATGGCAAAGAGCTCCCTTGAGACTGATGACGTACAAGCAGGAAGTGTTAGGCTGCAGGCGCAAAGAAGAGGACAGTCATTCTTCAATGCAGTGATAACAGTTCCGCAGCAGAGGCCGAGTGTTTTTACCCCACACGTGGATTTACCACTGTTTGGTTTTTGTGGACCTGGTAGTCTTTGACAGACTAGCTGTGAAAATTATTTCTGGTCTCTGCTAAGAGTGTGTAGAGTTACTGTCCACAGCTGCTCCATGTTGGAGGTTTGTAGTTTAACCTGCCAATTGATGTGTTCTACTGTTCAAACAATTTGTCATTATATTTAGAAAATGTTGCATAAAGAATATCTGTATTAGGGACACCAATATTAGTAGATAACCTTGCTCATTTACAGACCCCTTCTACCTCAAATCTTGATGCTTGAACGTGGTCGGAGGTTGCCATATTTAGCGTGTTTCATCAGTAGCTGATCGTTAGATATGAAATAGCACGCTCTGAAAATGAGTGCTGCAGAACACTGGAGGCAGCTGAATTTTGAAGCAGTCCAGGTCGGTAAACTATTCAACTGTAAAATGGTGTATTCAAATACCACCGTTGTCTCCTGCTGAGAGCAGCAACTGAACTTTTCATATTTTACTTCTCGTATTTCACATATGAACTTTTCCATTTCCACAGCATTTAGAATGACCTTCACAGGTGAAACCAGGACTTGCGAGCATTTTCTAACTCAGATATTTTGCTTTGTTGTCAGAGGTAAGCCACTTTAAGAGGCAGTGTTGAACAAGGACTTAACATTTGTGTTTGCACACAAATTCTTACACTTTAGAAGCAGACTTCTTTATAATGTTCTGAAATAAAATGAGCATGTTTAGTTGTTATAACCTGTTGTTTTTTTCCCTAAGCATTTGAAGGTTTTACAGGCATTCAGTATGGATATTGACTGGATCTAATCCTAGATCTGATGTCCATAAGTGACATAAATGCTGATGCTGCAGGACAGCTACATATGGATTCAGTTTCATAAATTCTCCTTATTTCAATGGGAACCTGCTCATGTTTTAGTTTTGCTTGTTCTAGAGATTTTCTGTGTCGTTTCAGCCCTTCACCCTGTAAAAAAGGGATGCTATCAATTGCCCAAGGACGTCAAAAAAATGAAATATTACGTGAAGATACAAAACATCGTGTAAATAATGAATGAGACATTAATAACAATGCTATAATTGGTTCTGCGCAAGCTAAAAGGCTTCTAATACAATTATAAATATCCTTCCATATTTTGACTGTGCTTTAATTGTATAAAACTAAATTCTTACCCTCCACTTAAAATAAATGAAAAGAAAAAAGTGTTTTCATCATTCAAAACTGTAGCAGAATGATAGAATTCAACAAGTAGTCTTTGACAGTAAAGCTATTTTAAAACCCAAATGCCAAATAAACATGGGAAGTGTTCACTCGTGAGTCCAGCATCAGCGGCAGAGCCAGTCCCAAGCCTGTGCTAACCATTTATTAATTATAACAAGCAAATCCAGCAGAGACATTTCCCAAACAAAAGGAGTGACGTACCGGCTCTTTCTAGCTACTGCCCTTCCTCATTTGCCACTCTTAGCCCACCAGCGAGGGTTTTCAGAGCTTTGCTGCCACTTGCTTTTCTCCCATTCTTATGACATTGCTCTCTTTCTCTCATACGTTTTTCCACTGTGCTGTTGATGCTGTGGGTTGCTCACTGTACTGGGGGTAGCAGGGATGACCTGCAATGGACATGTGAGTTGTGCACCACGTGAAGCCCAGATGAAGTCGTTGTGACTGTCTGGGACTGCAGCCGTAGAACTCTTTGGACAGAGAAGGAGGGATGCCCCTAAGACCCAAGGAAAGGTCTTAATTTTTAATTATTTTTTTAAAATAAGGTTACAAGGAGTGACTATTGCGATAGATCCATGGAATGCGAGAGGTAAAAAGCTTTTGACCTAATATTAGAAACTCAGTGGACACTTCAATACAGATGCAACTGTCAAAAGAAATTAGCATTTCCCCAGATTCAGCCATTTAAAAATATCATGGGTTCTGTCCTCCTTAGAACAAGCAAAAGGCAGTCACTCCAGTTGAAGTAGGAAAGAGTATCATGATTCTTCTTTTTGCAGCATCAAAAGAGTCGTCCCATTATCGATTGGCTTAGGCGAAGGCCAGTCGTGGCGGGCAGCACGTGTTCCCGTTGGTGCCTGCGGCCGTGCCGCGGGTGCAGGGGGTGGTGGGCAAAGCTGCCTCCGGGTGCGGTTTCCCCTGCTGAAACGCGTGGCAGGACGTGGCACGCTTGCTGCAGGCTGAAGTACTGAGATGGCTGGACGCGTCCTTGTTCCAGGTGGCCAACCTCGTGGCCTACTTGGGGCGTAGATGGAAACGAGACTGCGCAAGCTAACGTAAACCACCGCAGACTCCGCTGCGAGTGCGACTGTGTACCATAGCTTGGCGATTAAACTCTTTTTGCAGTAGAACTGTCTCCTGCAGAGTGAAACAGATTTGTTTCCCTGTGCATGAAATGATGTTTCTCACAAAGGCTTCATCTGTTGTGTTTTGGGTAAATTTTGTAGTCAAACTGTACATAGTGTAAATCTTTCTTTGCCCAGTTCCCGTTGGTTTAGCTGTGAATTCCTGATTCCCTTGAGATAGTTTGAATTTCCTAATTCAAGTATATAGAGATTTGGCATTTCTGCCTCCCACTTTAAAGTTCAGCAAAGCATCTTAATTTATAAACAGGATTGAAAAGAACCTGCGAAGGGCGTGTGCTTATATGCTCCCCTAAATAGGAATGGATATAAACCGTGTTCTTCGGGAATCTTTGTGATTCATTTAAAAGTCTTTAGAAGACAGAAGGTAGATGACAATTTTTTTACTTTTTTTTGATTTTAGGACCTGAGTCTCTCACTATATTGTTAATTCCCACCATTTTCTTTGCAAAACAAATATTTCAGCAGTCTCATGATTATGTTATAATTTGTTTAGCTTAAGCCACTGAAGAATTATTAACATGCTTTAGGTTATAAATTTTGTGGATTGCTGGCTCATTTATATAATCTGTCATCGCTACTCGGGTGAAACATGCTATTAAATTTATGGATACAATGTAGTTTCCATAATCTGAGGAAGAAAACATGAGAGTTTTCAAAATATTTAAAATGTATGCCCCTTTGGAAGTGGAATGAAATGTAGGTTAATTTAGAAGGGATAATTTATGATAGTAAATAAGTAGACAGTTTTAATGTAAAGTGGGGTATGCTTTCTTAAACTCCCCCAACAGTTGGAATTAACTAAAGCAGAATATAATAAATTATTTCGAATAAGAACTAAATCACACACAACTGAACTTGTGTTTACTAAATACAGGGTTTGTCCTGGCTCAGGTCCGGTGGAACCCTAAGTCAAGTTTTGCACCATGGCTTTTCAAACTGTAAGAACAGAAAAGTCTTCTCTTTTGAGAAGATACAGAAAAGGTGTTATGACACTTTCGTTATCAGTCTGATGTATATGTATGTGTGGAGGGGTTAGTTTTCTTTTTCTGTTTTTGAGAAGCTGTTTTCTTATTCCTGCATATTGGCCCCGATTGCCAGTGGAGCATCTGGCTGCTGTTCTGGCTCCAGTGGAGGTGGAGGGCAGGTACAGGCGGGTGGTAGGCAGTGTTAACTGACGTCATCCAGTCTTCACAAAGCTGTTATCTCTTAAAATATCGGGGCCTTACTTGTCTTTACCACAGTGCGTGTTCTCACTTCACGCAGTTACTGACAAGTTCTAAAGTCATTTTGATGACAAAACCCCAGGACAACGGTCTTGGCAATGTGAGTTCCTGTACCTGTGTCCCAGCACATTTAATATGAGATCTCGTTTGTCAACCAAGCCAGCGGCTCTTAGCAGCCCGTGTGTCTTGGTGTTTCAGGTGGGGAAATGGGAGAACAACTCGCTGAGCCTGAAGTACTCTGTCTGGCCAAGGTACAGCTCCTTCGCAGACAGCGACCCAGACGATAACCATCTGAGTATTGTCACCCTGGAGGAGGCTCCCTTTGTCATTGTCGAGGATGTGGATCCTCTGATGGAGAGTTGCCAAAAGAACACTGTGCCATGCCGTAAATTTGTCAAAATTAAGTAAGTAAATACACAACAGTCCTCTTTTTTTTTGAGCGCAAAATATATTCCCCCATTTTCGTATTAATTCTTTGCCTTGCTTCTTTCATTGTATAATTGTTTTCTGACACTTTGCTGTTCTTTTCCTCTTGCTTCCTGCATTTGCTTTTCCTTCTGCATTTTGTTTCCTCTTTCTTTTTCACTTTCCCACATGGTACACTCTTGTTTGTACATCTTCCTTTTTAAGAAGTTGAAAAATTCTGGTTATATATGTGTAAGTCACATTGAATTAACAACACGATAGTGAGTTTAAAGTAAATTCAAAGTCGACTAGAATTAGCCCTTTTCAGTGGCATGAAAGAAGATTGCATTCTAAGATTGGATTGTTTTAATGAGTCCTCTTTGAATTGTTTCTGGTTATGTTGAAATAAGCCTGTTTTAATTAGTCTGTAACAATTTGAGGATGTCTTCTATTGCAAATGTACATTTATGCTGAAGTGTGGTACAGGATGAACTACTCCAGCATAAATACCACTGTGCCATACTGTCTGGAGAAAAGTCCCCTGCTTTGATTGCTCTTCGATTCAGAAAAACACGGTCACTCACAAGTGTGACAAAATGTTGTTGCCAGGTATGCTGGATCTTGCTGTTGTGGTGGTTCTGTTCTTCCCAGTAGAAAAGTTTATGTCTCTTCTCTGTTGACAGCAACTCAACTAATGAGGGAACTAATGTAAAGAAGTGCTGCAAAGGATTCTGCATTGATATCTTGAAGAAGTTGTCTAAAACCGTGAAGTTCACCTATGACCTGTATTTGGTGACTAATGGGAAACATGGCAAAAAAGTCAATAATGTGTGGAATGGAATGATTGGTGAAGTAAGTTCTGTTAGGTAAAAAAGCTCTTAAGTAAGAACTTAGCGATGTTTGGTTTTAATTCTTTGGGAGAAATGCAGTATTCTTGACTGAGTAATATTGGCGGTGTCTTCTCTTTGTGGATCAGGTGGTGTATCATCGTGCGGTTATGGCTGTGGGGTCTCTCACCATCAACGAGGAGCGCTCTGAAGTGGTGGACTTTTCAGTGCCGTTTGTGGAGACTGGGATTAGTGTCATGGTGTCACGGAGCAATGGCACGGTTTCACCATCGGCTTTTCTAGGTATGCTTCTCCAGCCCCTCCAGATCATTGAATTGCATTCCTGTAGGGTTGGGCAGGTTTCACTGCTTGTTAAGTTATGTGGTGCACTGGTAAGTTTCTGGCAAGTTTTGAATTTTACGTTAGGAAGTTTGTACTGTGTCGACATGCTGCTTAACATGATTATTAGCACATCAAGGTAGTGCTGTTGGTTTCAGGTGCAGTAAGTGAAAACCAATGAGAGTAATTTCAGTATGAAAACTGATCCCCCAAAATCTTCAGCTGGGTAAATGACTCGTCAAAAACTGCTTCTTTACAAACTAATTTGTGCTCGTTTAGCCCATTATAAATGGTTTTGTATCTTTTAAACTCTCACATTCACAAAATAGTTTAAAAGCCCCTTGCAGACTAGTGAAGATAAAGAGATGGCCTTATGAGTCGAGGAGATCTGACAGCTGGTTTGCTAACAGTTACCTCTGGCTTCCCAACGCCATGGTGCTGCAGTGGAGCACACTGGAGCTGCACTGGGGCACACGCTAGCTGCGGAGTGTTTCTCCATCGATGCAGTTGAACAGCGGGGTTGTGGCGGTGCAGCCGAACAGTGGAGATAGAGCAGAGAAATAAAAGGCTGGACAGAAAGGAAATGGGATATAAAGAAATAAAGACTGTGGCCTTCTTGCCTTGTTTGCTTCTTGTTTCAGTTGTTAATTTCTCCTTTCATTATCTCCCTCTCCTTCTCTTTTAGTGCTTACTGTTTGCTTCTGTATTTAGTGGTTAGACTGAATTTACCTGAAACCAAAAGCAGAGTGAGCCATGAGATGGATCTAAAGAGCCCACGATGCTGTTAAGGTTCTCATAGCATATTTGGGCCCAGTATTTTTGAAAATACTTTGCACAGGAAAATAGTGCTAGTGACACTAAAATCATTGAAGTGAAATTGGGGAAAAAAAAAAAAAATCACAATTTTCCAGATATCTTCTGGAACAGGTTAGTATGTCCAAGTCCATTGGGCCGCCAGTGATGCCATTTTCACGTCCCTGATTGTATAGCTTCTTTTTAGATAGCTAGGTGTAAATTCTTCACTTCCACTGAAATTGCTTGTAGCCATTGAGGAGCGGAGTGTTGGTGCAGTATCAGCTACAAGTGGGCAAATCATTATTTTTTCTTGCACAAGAGCCATCATTTAGCCAGAGGTGATTTTTCATACCTGTTCCATAAAGGCATGTTACAAAGCTGATGCAAATAAATATAAGACAATGAGTAATCGAATAACTCCCAGACCTGGTGGCACCTAAATGGATTTTGGTGGCAGTTAATATTTTTTGTTTAATGAATGGAAGACTTTTTAATTAAATTATAAGAGGCTGTACTTTTAGTGAAAATATTCAGATAGTGGCTTTTCATTTCTATAAGTCATTGACTTGTAAAGTTAATTCATTTTTAAAATGGCAGTTGCAGCGTATTGAAATTGTCATTTGAAATAGAAGCGCTGGGGTGTTTTCTAAGTGCGCTGCAAGTGCAGTTGATTTTTACTGCAGACTCTGCTTACCTCTTAAAAACCTGCTGCCAGCTGCCGTCAGAAGAGAGACTGCTGCTGCATTCTTCACAACAATGATTAGTTTTCCAAAATGCATTTAATGTAATTGGTCTAGTTGGACGTACATACAATTCAAAAAGTAAAAACAACCCCTTCTTATAAAGCTCTGCAGAACAGCATTACTTTAGAAGAAATCTGCTTTACTGCAGCGATGAATTGCGTCGGTGCTCGCAGAAGGATGTATCGGACGTAGATGAAACGGTTACTTTCCTGGAACTGACTGTGTATGTCACAGAGGTGTGCGTAGTAGTGGAAGGCTTTGCCATGTGAAATACTATCAGGCAGATAATTGAATTTACTCACAGAGAAATTTTGTTTTAATTAAGTGAACATCTAAGAGTAGAGTCCTCTTACATAATTCTTTTAAAAGATTTTTTTTTTTAAATCTGTGAAATACTTTTTTTTTTTTTTTTAAATAGCACTTGATTATACTTCCTGAAATACCTGGTTTGGTGATTTGTCACTACGAATGCGGACAAGCACAGGATTTTGTCTGGGCTAGGTTTTCCGTTTGGTGGTTGTGTCCAGCAGATCCCAGTAACTGATGGGCTGACAGCCGCTGCCTCCTTGTCTGCGCAGGTCTGCATCTGATGGGGACGTCTCCTTCACAGGAGAGTTTCAGCCACATCAAAACATTTTCATATCGTACCAAAATTCATATATACTAGATCCACAAATAAAGTTCTTAAAGATTCTGTGAAGATTTTATTCAATCTTCTTTAAACAAATAAACAAAACAAGGGAAACCTCAAATCCACATGTCTATGTTTTTGAGAGGAAGAGGCCAGTTTTCTTTTGGAGGCATTCATGGAATAGAAAATCTGTGCCCCTGTTTATTTTGCGTATGTTTTAAGGATTGTTTTGGTGGTGGGAGGTAAAACTCAAAGTTAGTGGAGTATGACAGCTTTTTCATTGCTGAATATTCTCCATTGCCAATCATTGGAAATGTACACTGGCAAGCCATATATTAGTATTTTTCTGCCAGATCAGAAAATTCTGATAAAACCTGCTGCTTGCCGGGGGGAATCAGCAAAATCAAAGAACAGGGCTGGATGTATAATCTGATCTCTCATATGACAGGAGAAGCCGTTTTGTTATTCAATTGATTTTGTACTTCTTCAATCTTACTGCTTGCTATTCTAAATGGCTTTTTATTTTCCTGTTGCTTCTTTTAATTCTCCACCTCGTTACCAGACTGCTTGAATTATTAAAGAGCATCCTGCTTTAACTGTTGTTTATGGCTCACTTTTTCGCCTCAGCTTGTTTTGCCCTTTGCCTTATTTTGATAAATTGCCGTGGCTGTTTCTATGCTGTTGCTTTTGAGAAGAGTTTTATCAGGCTTGCTTTCTTCTATGAGAACTTGCTCAAAATTGTGTGATAGTTTTCAGTGAATTCCAGTTTATTCCAGTTAACATGTGAATTCATAGAATATTTGTTATTAACTGTATTTGACTACATAATGTGCTTTTCCTGGCTGTAATTGAATGGATCTTTCTCTGCCTTTTAAGTATTTTATTACTTTGCTAACTTACTGTTGTCTTCCAAATAAATAATCATGGTAATTGAAGGAACTTCATAACCTCTCCTGAAAATAAAATATTTTTTTAAAAATAATAACTCCCCCTATTCCTTAACCTTATTTTAAAACAGAAAGAGAACACTTTGGCTGAAAATGTTCCTGCCTTCCCCTTTTAGTTCGCATCCAAAATCACCAGTGGGGCTCTTTGGAATTTGGTTCCAAATTTCTGAAGCCATTGTAGCAAAGGCAAATGATCTCCTGAGATTTCCATCCTGGGGCCCAAATTATTACACTTGATTCTGATTGAGGGTGCATCATTCATGCCAAGTCTGGCAAGGATCCGGCTGGGCTGTGGGGCCTAGCACATCTCACCTCTCGCTCAGAGGCGTTTCCTGCAACGATGGAAGGATTTTCAGGGGTGAAAGTCTTAACCTGAATTCAAAGACTGAGGAGGTTGGGCTGGCGGAACCTCTTGGGCTTGCAAAGCAGGTGAAGCATTGGAACACACTGATTGCTTGTCATTTCAGTTGCTGCTTGATTCTGTCCTCATTTGAAATTGTATATTAAAATTTTTTTACTCACACTTCAGAGAACACTCACACTTGCATTATCGACCAAAATTAGGACATAAACTGCCCCCAGCTAAGCAGACCTGATGAAGAGGTATTACTCTGCCATACAAAACCTTGCTTACATGTATCCTTGTACCATGACAGTTACGTGTCATCACATACTGCTACCCAATCCAGTCCTTTCAAAAACTTGGTGCTTAGTCTGGTATTTGAATCTGCTTTTAGTTTTCTGTTCCAACCTACTTCTTTTACTTAATCGGGGTTTTTCTGTCTTTCAAACTGACATTCGGTTTTCTGTGCAAACCTTTTGATTTCAGAAGTTTGCTCCCAGGTCAAGAGGAGACTTTCAAAAGGTTGTGTTTGCAGGCAGTAAAAACAGCATCTTCATCACAGGTAGATGAAAGCAAACACAGAGAGAAAAAAATTCTGAAACAAAAACTTTCGTTTGAACACATTTAGTTTTTTTCCCTAACGCTCTTTGGGTAGAAAACTAGAGAGGTCTACTTCACTGAATTACCAATTGTATGAAACTTATGTTGAGTTGCTTTTGCTCTGCAGAAATGCAGTCGCAATGGTCAGACCCTTCTGTTGATATACACATATAACACAGGATAAATAGAAATGGGCTACCGGGTTGTAAACTGAACAAGCAGCGAGTAAAAGCAATTATTTGCCACTCAGTGTCACTTAAGGCTTTGTCAAAGAAAAGTGTGCAGCCATTGCTTTTGAATGGCGACTTACATTTAAGATTTTGACTGTATGAATTTTGTGTATAGTAACAGCAGTTCTTCATGTGTTCCTACTTAGTTATTTGCTAGCGTTTGGGTTGGTGAAAGCTAATTTAAAGCAAGCTGCTGGGCTTGTCTGGCTGAAGAGATGAGAATTCTCGTGCTGCGCCTGGTTTAATGAACTGTGTTTCTGTTTCTCTGCTCTCTTTTGCTGCAGAGCCTTTTAGCGCTTCTGTCTGGGTGATGATGTTTGTGATGCTTCTCATCGTGTCCGCCATGGCTGTCTTTATATTCGAGTACTTTAGTCCTGTGGGATATAACAGGAACTTAGCACAGGGGAGAGGTAAGCTTGGCATTTCACACACTCTGAAGCTGTTAAGAAAATCATGTATTGCCCATCCCTTGCCCTCCATCTTTTAAAATAAGCATGAGGTAGGAATGAAGCAGTAAAAGCAGCTATGAAACTATGTTTGCTCTTCATTTAAAATATGGTTTCTCAGGGGCTTATATGCTTATGTTTGTATTGTAATTCATTGCAATAAAGACATATAGAAGGGTAAGTGGTATCAGAGACAGTCGTATTCAGGCAGCATTTAGTTAGTGTACTATATCAGTTGTAGAGTGTCAGCTTAAAAGAGCATTGGAATAAGTTCTACAGACTCCTGACTCTTACCAATTCACGGTTAGTTCAGAGATAATGGTCTAAACTGGTGTGGCTTAGTGGGTAATCTGGAAAACTAGCAGTTATGGTGTTTATATAGTCTCTATAAAAAGTCTGATGAACTCGTCCTTGATACAAGGCCAGTGGCAGAAGGACACTTGTGGTGCCCTCATCCTTCCTTTTCTTTACTCACAGTTCAGAGCGCAGCCTGGTTTTAATTTCTAAACCATACTTGCCTCATTTCATAACATGAAATCTTCCGGCTTGGTGAAGGCAGTTCTGGAGACTGTTACAAGCTCATGGTTTCTTCTGGATTATGACTGGTTTGTTCCCTGAAAGAGGGGATGATTGTAATGTTCAGGCGATGTTACCATTTCAGTACGATGGTAAATGCGTAACCTGTCCAAAGCAAGCACTGTCTTTACCAAGGGGAGATCAAGGGTGAATATAGACACTGGGCATCAGGGCTTGGCTGTTCTTTTCTGTGCCACCTCATGTGCCAGAATGGATTCTTTAGTGCGCTTATGGCTACAAAGGCATATTATGGCCCTAGACCATCCTAACTTAGCTCTAGAGACTAGCCGTGAATCCAGCTGCCCTTCGTTTGAAATATGGGAAGCTTGAAATAAATGGGAATCTTGATGTAGATTGCTCGTTTCTCTAGGCATGTTTGGCAGGATGAAGCTGGGTGGTAATACAAGCTCTGCTAGCATAAGCAGAACTTTAGACTGCTTTCTTGGCGTATATTTGCCTTATCATTGTTATTTAGAAAATACATATTATAGCTGTATCATCTCAGTCTTAAACGGCTTTAGAAGGTAGTTTCATGAACCAAAAGTCGGGTCCATTGTGTTTATTTTACTGCACTCTATCTTCTTGGCACTGCTGCAGAATAGAAAGACGGTAATCGAAGATATTGTGCTTGATTGCATGGTGAAAAATTTGCACTGTGTTAGAGAGCATTTCCACTGAAATGAGAACATGCACTGAGTGTAGCCACTTTGGGTTTTATTCTTTTAATAATAATGAAATTATTAAAATAAATTATAATTAAATTAATAACTAAATCGGAATTTGTAATGTGCAGCCCCGTGGATAAAGGGGCCGGGCAGGGAACGAGGTAATACTATAGGTGTCTGCATCAGAGCTGATGCTGTTTGGTGGAACAATAGAAACTCCAAAAAAGGTCAAATGAGTCACATTCAGGGGAGGCTTGTTTCTCTCCACTGAGGCTAAAGGGAGTCTAGGTGACGAGCAATATGTGATGACTGCACTGTACCTGCCTACAGCTGGTTAAGAACAACTTCCCTGTCTTCTCCGATGGCTCTACAAATAAGGTCTCTTAAGTGAATAATAGCATTACTAATCCGCTTCTGCCACTATGCTTACATAAAGTTCAAAAAGCGGAATGCTGGAAGAGTGGAGTGGGTACAAAATAATTGGGGTGAGAGATGTACTAGAATTGAATCATTAAGACTTAAACCCACAGTTTCCCGTTTTACATATCTGTGAGCATGAAGACTGAAAGGGGCAATGCTGCAGCATGTACCTCACCGCAAGAGACATACCAGGTTGCTTCTCCTCTGAACCTATGCTTTCCATTTTCATTTTAAACCTTTTGAAGTAAATGCCACATAGAAAACGTTGCAATATTTTACAAATAAGGAAATATATGTCATGACAATAGAGGGTACCTATGGTAAATCCTATGTTTCCATTGGATATGGCATGTGAATACGTATTGAAATACTTTTTAGCTATATCTTTGTGAGCACTTTCTTGTTATTACGTAGGGTATCTTGCCAAAATTTAATTGAATTGCAGCAAAAATACTGCTCTTTGCAATTGCAGATCCCCACGGACCATCCTTTACCATTGGGAAGGCAGTGTGGTTGCTGTGGGGTTTGGTGTTCAACAACTCTGTGCCTGTGCAGAACCCCAAAGGGACGACCAGTAAAATCATGGTGTCGGTCTGGGCGTTCTTTGCTGTCATCTTCCTGGCCAGTTACACTGCCAACTTAGCTGCCTTTATGATTCAGGAGGAATTCGTTGACCAAGTGACCGGACTGAGTGATAAAAAGGTAGGTCTTCAGCTCAAAAGAGGTCAGTGTCAATTCTTCATAATCCTCCTACAAATTTGTACTTTGTGCTAAAAACGTCTGAGCAAGCTAATAAGCTAAAACGGGAAGTTTTAGGACCCACAGAGGTCCCTTCCAACCCCTACTATTCTGTGATTCTGTGATTCTGTGGGATGATCTCACTTGGAGTGTAACCCCTTACTAACAAACCTGAGACTCGGAGCATGAAAATATCAGACTGTCTTCAAAGTCTTTGAGTTGCCTTTTCAAAAGTGACTGCATTAATGGAAAAGTACGTTTATTTTACGGTGGAAATGCTTCACAAATGTACAAAATCTTGAAGAACAAAAATGTCAGCTTGAGTGCAGGGAAGGCATATTTAAAATTATTTTAACACTTCTGTGTTGAATATTAATAATATATGAATTGAAAAAATATTCATAAAACCAGCAACTATCCAGTAATTATCAGAAGCCAGTTAATGCTCCTGAACGAATGTCTTTTTGCTTTCGATATAGTGTGAAAAGAAGCTATAGAGAGAGTTCAGATTTAAAGTGGTGCCAGCACAAATAGTAAAGATAAACAACAAAAAATGATACATATTGTCAGTGGACGTTTGAATATTTTGCTTGTACATGGCAAGAGTAAATAGGAAAAATAAACAGGGGTAATAAGTTTGAGGGTTTGTGTTATCACGTTGAAGTGAGCTGTAAATTGCATAGGAAAAGGCGCAGAATTTTGACGTGTTTGTGGAAGATGCCTGCCTAATTCAAGCACTTCGGTGACATTTGCACGTTGAGCACCAGACTCTGGGAGTTCACTTAAGCTGTATTCGAGTTTCACACAAACTGACAAATGATAAATATGCTTATTTTTCATACTGTTCTAGCTTGACTGAACTTTCTTCTGCTGAAAGACAGATCTTTGTACTTGTGAATTTTAATCAATAGTCTTATAAATCAGAAACCTAACAATTACTTCTTTTATTTAATTCGTGTGACTGTTTGTAATAGTGATATTGCGTGGAGGGATTGAAGTCCATTTGCAGAATTACTATTGTGACAGGCACAAAATATATGAGGGCATGCTGTTTTCAAGTTTGTGCCCAGTTGTTTTAAAATGAAACTAAATATTGACACTAAGAAGTAACATTTAAATAGAGAACAGCACAGGGGAGAACTTCCCAAGGGATTTATCTCAAAGGACAGAAAATAAAGGAAATTGTTTTTCAAAAGAAGGCAACAGCTCAGATAGCCTTGTGTCTGTTTTTTGTTTTAACTGCTTTTTATGAGCAGCCTTTGATCGAGCTCCTGAAGTATCAAAGCGTGAATTGCAAGCATGGCTAGAGGAAAGGGAGATAAAAAGAAACAAAAGGTGACAGTAGTTTTGTTTTCACTAAGTTCTGTTGTCGCAAAACATTTGAAAGAGTCTGAAGACTATTAAACATACCTCTGTTTTAAGAGAATTTTCTTAGTAAGAGACAGATAAAAGGTGTTCTTCTCTTGAGGATTAAAAAAAGGGATTTGAGCAATGCCTTTCTCCTGTTTGTGCGAAAGTGCAGAGCGTTTTTCTGGGAAGTCTGGGGTTTGGCAGGATCTGGCTCGCAACCGGTGCGGCGCTGGGTTTGGGCCGGCCAGCCGCCCGTGTTGTCCTCTCTGCTGGCTGCTTGCCGCTCTCACCTGTGGGCTGGGAAGATGTCAGCACTGGTTCTGTAGCTTTGGGCTAAGCACTTCCCTGGTTTTGTCATTTTTCTGTTCTCTCTGTAAAGTAGGATTTTATTTCCACAAAAAGCCAAAGAAAAATAGAAAAAAACTTGAATCAGAAAATAGCATCTGCTTTTGTGTGGTCTTCTGATCATTTGTTTGATCTGCCACCTTTGTATTTATTTTATGGTTCTTCAAATTCTGCCTGAAGCCTATAGAGATAAATCAAGGGAGCCAAGCCTTTTCTGATTAAATTAAACAAGCCAGAAGTCCAGAAAAGCAATGATCTATTTTGAAACATTCTTCTTGTCGTACACAAGTTTTGCCTCCTCTACAATCCTGAAGTTTCTTGGGTTTTAAAAATTCAAATAATTAAGCTTAATTTATGAGAATATAATCTGGTTCATGTTAAATTCTTTTTCTCCCCTCTTTGCCTTGTCTCTGCGATGTTGTGAGGAGGAGCATAGTTCAGACATTTGCAACAATTTACGTTTGTTCAGTAGAGAACTCTGGGCCTTGCTGCAAGCAGAGTGGTAATAGGCAAAGGCTGGTGGGAAGGGACAGAAGTATATAATTTTAAATAAGTAATATCTACAAGTTCAATACATTTTTGAAAAAACTTCTGGGCTGGTGTATCAGTTTAGTATTCTTTCCCGTCCCCTTTTTCCCACTGCCACAACTGCAGAGTCAAGCTCTTTCACCAGTGCCATAAAGTATTCCAAGTTAGAGATCCCGGGGTCTCTCCGCCCAACTCCGCACAGGACAGAGTATGGAGGAGCAAGCTCAGGAAAACCCTGCTCTCTCTGAGCAGCCGTCCCTGACCCTCGGCACGGAATGTCTGCCCACTCAGGCAGCGTGTTGCACTCCAGCGTCTGGTTCTCCAGGTTTGCTGAACACCCCATAACGTGCTCTTTACCCTGCCTGGCTTCAAGACCTCTTGATAGCTTCCTCAACCTTCATGATTCTGCTAATGAGTTTGGATGTTGTGTCATCTGTGTGTCACCCAGAAATACGTGGCACAGCATGTACTGGAGTTACTAGAGGTGGGTGTTCATAAACTCCAATGATTCAGAAGATGAGAAGAAAATTGTATTTTGACATCCTTGTGTATGTAAAAGATTTTTAAAAGCTTTGTGTTCATAAAAAGGTACAGAAAATGAGTCCAAAAGTATCTAGCAAAGCTGCCGTTCGTAGCACTTATTACTTTTGAGACCATTGATGCCTTCTTCACATGATGAAGGAGAGAAGATTACTAAGGGCGAGTAGGCAGCAGTGGACGGAATTGCCTTGCAAAGTGTCTATCTGCTGTGATTCCTCCACCCCCTCACATCTGAAGAGCTGCCCCACGGGCATGTGGTCTAGGGGATCCTCTTCAACGTTCATGGGAAGCCTTACCTATGCCATTTACAAGTCCCTTATTTTTGCAAGATCCACAGTATTCCTGTAATGCTGGCTTTATAATTCTGTGCAGTAAGATGGCACAAATTCTGTAGTTACTCAGAGCTGTGTCTGTGTCAGTACAGAGCAGGCTGAGGTCAGCAGGCAGCGCGGAGGATTGGGGTGGTGAGGGTGACCCTCTCACCCCAGTCCAGCTCTCCACTTCAATACTAGACCTTGACAGTGCTTTTCGAGAGCTGTCAGACATAAATACTGACTGCATTTCAGTAACTGATGATTATAATCATAGCCTTGGAGTTACTAAACACAGTAGCTATATTTTTCAAAGATCAGAAATCAGATTGTCAGTGTTTTCCATCTGGTAAAAGAGGAAAGCAGAGAGTTCAGATATGGGCGTGTTTTTATCACTTCAAGCCAGCCATAATTTCCATTAAAATCTGTGTTAGCAGAGGGAGAAGATTTTCTACTGTTTTGGTAATGTTTTCCACAGTTCCTGAAAATACTGCTGAACAAGAACACACAACTGCTCGGAATACCAGCCTTCTCAGGCAAGCGTGCAAATTGTGGCGTTAAGTCAGTATTTAATGGTTGTGAAAGATCACTTTACTGACTTTAATGAAATTGTTGGTTCTATTAAGGCATATAGGTAAAAAAGTATAAGCAATAGGACTGTTTCCTCGGTTCAGCCGTCCTGTTTGGCATCCCTCCGTCGGTAGGACGGGAGTTTTGTCGCTGTGTCGCAGTTCCAGCAGCTGGCAGAGCGTGGGCAAACCAGGTGGAATGGGTTGGTCTGCTGCAGAACAGCAGATCTCTCCACAACTGTGGTTCAAGCAGGGCACTTGCACAGTCAATTTGAGGATTTTTATTAGTGATTAAAAAAAGTTAACATTTCAGAAAATGTCTAGGAAGAAAATTGCTTCCTAGCAGACATGATATATGTTATTTCCCGTCATGGGGCTTCAGGGAATATGAGCGTGTGTAGAGACGTGAGGCTTTTTTCTCTCTCTTCTCATGCCTGCCACGTGCATCTTTGCTGTGGTCACAGAGCCTGTACGCTTCTCCAGGACGTGTCAGTTCACAGAGTAGGAGTTTAAAATTAGTGATGAAAACGTTACACGTTTTAGATATGAATGCACCATTAGTAAAAAGATTTTAAACTTTTTCTTTCTCCTTTACAAGCAGCCTGGGAGCAGGCAGGAGTAGCAATCATTTCAAAAAAATTATCTCCGTGTGGCTGTTAAAATTTGTTGGTTAGGTGTCTCATGCCATGAAATTCCAGACAATGGATGGTGCTTGGAACCGTTTCTCTCTGGATTTTCTATATTTGACTTCCTCATATGAATGATGTCATCACTTGAATTGCTCGTTATCCCCACGGTCTTTGAACAAACTGGTACTTTTTGTTACTCTTGGCTCTCAATGCCTTCAGCCAGGCCTGTGGGAGAAAACTCCTCCCAACAGTTTAAACTCCTAGGAATGCTCTGGAAAAGGGAGACTATTCAGAACCAAACTCCATTTCTGAATTACCAGGATGCTCCACCATACCCTTGCTGTTCCCTGGCTTCCCCTGCCATAGCCCAGGATCCGGGAGCCCGCCTGCGGAATGCTCACCACAGGGGAACTGCCAAACAATGGCAGCTGCGTGAACAGCAGCAATGTTTGCAAGGCATGAAATCGGCATTGTTTCTTTCATTTTTTTTTTCCATTTCTATTGGTTGTAAAATTTGATACAGACATTAGGAGATATTGGAAACCATCTCACGACTTCAGGGATTAATTAGCTGTAGATTTAAATAAAGTTAATAGCAAGCTACATCTGTATCAGTAGAATCTCTGGACATATTTAAGTGCAGGGTTTGTCTCAGTGTTGCATAATAAACACAAAAAGGAGATATCAAATATAGCCTAAGAACCGTGACTAGTATACAGTGTAATTTTAGTGCATGGGTCAATTAGTATGTGTAAAGTAGGAGCGAAGTAATAATTTAAACAGTAAAGCTGTGAAAAGGGAAAATGAGAGAAGTAAGACATCTGTTAGCTGAGCGAATAGAGAAAAATAGTTCATTCCTTTATGCTTTGTCAAAATACGCTTAATTAAAATGAAGCATTTAATTATAGTTCTGTAACATGAAAATATTGTTGCAGCAATAATTTCACAGTCAAGGTTTGATGGAATTGAAAATATTCCCAGTTTTTATATGAGCCTATTTCTATGCTCTTTGGCAATTGACACTGGATCCTGGGAATTCTTGAGGCCCTGAGACCACACATGGAAAAGAGCAGTGTTGCATGCGTAGCCCGCAGGCAGCAGCAGCTGTATAAAGATCAGCTGTCTCCTGCAGCACAGGGTATATAGGTTGCACTTCTAACCTCAGCAGTAAAAAGAGAGTGCATTTTACCGTGGAATTCATGGGTGACTGCTGTTACCAATGCGCAATTGAATTTCCTCATTAGCCAGTAGTTCCTCTAATCAGAGTGGCCTTTTGTCATTTGTTTCTTAAAGAAACATCTTCGCTTCGTCCTGAAGTGTCGCTCGGCATTTAAAGGGAGGTATTGAAAAGGCGCGTATACAATCTTCACCTCTGTCAGCAAAAGTTGATGTGAGATTATCTGAACGATTTCAAAATCTGAAGCCCGAGCGTGCCCTGAGCTCTTGTTGTTGCTGCGGAGATCCGCCCTGGCTTCCCTGGGCTGGTGCAGTGGGGATACAGAATTTTAGAATAAAGCCATGTGCCACCCAGTAAATGGCCTGCAGTTTTAAACTGCAGGAATAAACAGGGGCTGGGATGGTAGGCTGAGGTCTCCGTAAGCCCTCTTCAGTCGGGTGATTCAGCTGCTGAGCCCCTGGGGCAGAGGCGAGAACAGCCCCGCGCCCTGTCCCTCCCTGCGGGGACCCAGAGTGTCCCAGCTGAGGTGAAGGTGCGAAATGACTGTCAGCAAGATCCGAGTTGCTTTGGGTTGCTGTTTGCCACTGGGGCTGCTTGTTGTCTGGGCTCTCTAGGGAGATACGGGCAGATGAGGAACATCTTCCACTGACCCTCTGCTCCGGTTTCTGGGGTCCTGCTGTATTACAAGGCATGGGAGAAAGTCTTCAGAACGGTGAAATGGAGCTGGCTTTACTTCAAGTGTAGGTGTTTCTGTAAGTTCAGCCAGTGGGAAGACACAGTTTCTGGTATGACAGAGCTGAATGAACCCAAAGCATTTGCCTAGAAGAAATCTGAGGCAGCTTGTACAACTCCTGTTTTTTTTCAACCTGAAATTGCCCTTCCTCGCATTTTGAACACCCAAAACACTTTGCTTGTCCCATTTCTCTCCAGTTCCAACGGCCGCATGATTATTCACCTCCTTTTCGGTTTGGAACGGTCCCGAATGGAAGCACCGAGAGGAATATCAGAAACAACTACCCTGATATGCACCTTTACATGACGAAGTATAATCAGAAAGGAGTTGAAGATGCCTTGGTCAGCTTGAAAACTGGGTAAGCTTTTTCCATTAGTTTTAAAGAATACTGCAGACTTTGCAGAAGCTGGGAAATGCCGATCTGCACTTACCGTGATACTGAGCAGACTGATGACAGGCGTTCTGTGTAGTACAAGGCGTTTTTTTTTTTCAGCTGCACTGGACAGATATCGGAAGGGAAAATGATTGCCTGTGGTTTGTATGACTTTTAAAATTGCGTGGAAGCGTCGATGTCCTATGTAAAATAGATTCAAACGGCAGAATTAGTATTTCTCAAATTTAAAGAGAGATAGTACAGATGGACCTGGATTTGGGCGGGGGCACAGCACAGAGCGTGATGTTCTGTACAGGCCCTCGTTATCTTTGCAGAACTCTCTCTCATGGGACTGTGCTCTTGCAGGGTGAATTTCTGACAAAGTTTGTTTGTCTGGCCAATGTGCAACTACTTGTTATTTCTTTTCAACCTCCCACCCTTTGGTGTGCTTTTAGGTCTCCTCTTACATTTGCTTCCCTCCTCTAATTAGCTTGGCCGTGTACATTTACGGTCACATCTGAAGTATTGACGTTGAGCTTTGTATAATCTGTGGAGATGAGATGGTCTCAAATACTGGATTACAATAATCATAATTTAGCAATATAATTTGTTTTGGTTTGTTCTGAAGCAAGAGGGCTGAGTTACCCGTAGTGGATTTAAGCACATCCGCACCAGTGGCTGTGTCAAGGCATGTCTCGCCTGCCGCTATTTATGGTGAACACAGGACACTTTTCCTATACTAAGTGAAGCTGCTACTTTTGGTCCTTTTTTTTTCTGAACTGCTTGTCCTTTTAATTTTTGCTTCTCCCAGACATGTAGGGGACTGTAACATATTTCTGATGCAAAAAAACCCTGAAGTCCCCCAATCTTTCCTTAGAGTGTCAGTTCCCTTCCTTAAAAAGTTCCCCTTCGCGCTGTTTGCTCCCCTGCGGTCTCCGTGTTGCGGTCCGGACCCCCTCTGTTGTCCCTCCTCAAGGCCTGCTCAGCCGGCGTTTCTCAAGCGTGGGTTGTCCCACCCCAAGACAGACCCGGAGCACAGCGTGAGGTGAACCTCGCCCGAGGTCTGCCAGGTTGGAGGCAGAGCTCCTGCTCCGGCTGAGCCCGGCGAGTCCTGTTTCCCGGGCGGCAGCTGGGTTACGCCTTGGAGACAGTCAGCTGAGGGCTGCCGCTCCCGCTGTGAGTTCTGAAAGAAGGAGCTATCCTTGATTTGAGCTGTTGCTGGGGCTTGTTCAGCTGGATGGGTACTTTACGTAGGGGATGTATGTTCCTTGTACTTTTCACCAGCCATTTGTGCTGCTGAAAGCCCTGAAAAACGGCTGCTAGCTTTACCCCCAGGAGACCTGTCAGACACTGAAGCGTGGAAAGGACGGGGCTGCCTGGCTCCCGGGAGCTCGGGACGTTTGCTACAACTCGGGCTGGCTGCGCTTCTGCCAGCTGCTGCTCTTCCTCAGAAGCTTTAGTCCTTTTGACAGCACAAGCTATTCGTTTTTTTATAGATTTTCTTTCCCCCCACTGGAGTTTCTTTCCTCGTCAAAGTGATCTCTCAGTGTGGACACCCCCAGGTGTCTACCTCGCTCCCCTTGACTGACATTTCTGTAGCAGATGGTGCGAATGAGCTGCCATGTGCGGAGTTTTCTGGATCAGTATCAGTAAGTGCTACCTACAGTTGTGCTCCTGCAGATTATGTCTGGTGGCACTGCAGAAGGGTTTCACAGCGTGCTGCCAGCTGCTGAGGTTTCTTACAACAGAAGTGTTGCTTTGCGTTTGCTTGTATCACGGGTTTGGACATTGCAGTAGGAGAGTAATGTGGGCTTGCATGTGTCAAGTGGGCTTGCATGACACAGAACTGGGAGGAGTGGTGGATACACCAGCAGGCTGTGCTGCCATTCAGCGAGACCTGGACAGGCTGGAGAGTTGGGCACAGACGAACCTGATGAGATTCAACAACGGCAAGTGCAGGGTCCTGCACCTGGGGAGGAACAACCCCATGCACCAGTACAGGCTGGGGCTGACCTGCTGGAGAGCAGCTCTG